ATGGATAGATAAATAGATAGATTTTGTAAAGTTTACCATACATCATGATCAAAATTGATCGTTAATGTGCATTCAAAAAACTTGCTGTGTTCATTAAAAAAAAAAAAAAAAAAAAAAAAAAAAAAAAGAAAAAAAAAACTCTAACTCTTTCTTTTTATTTTTTTTTTTTTTGCAATTTCGTAAAAAAAAAATTAATGGAGACTTACGGCTAATCTTTTTCTTTTTCTCTCTCCATTTACAAATCGTATCGTACAAACGAAAAATAAATTTTAGGAGAATCGTGCCTTTGGAAATTTTATAAAAAGGAAAAGAAAAATAATAATAATAATAATAATAATAATAATAATAATAATAATAATAATAATAATAATAATGACCTTTCTCTACCTTTCTGGCTATATTTATTCAAGAATGTGGCTTTTTTATTGTGCTTACATTTTAACTGCATTTTTTTTTTTTTTATACTATTATTAATGATTTTATATTAAATATGTTTATATATATATTTATATATATATAAAAATTTTATCTATTATTATTATTTATTATTATTTATATGAAATACTCTGTTAATATAAATGCGACGAAACAGATTTTGCTTTGTTACTTTTCGAGAAGTTTCTCTTTCTTCTTTCTCATTTTTTTTTTTTTTTTTTTTTTTCATCTAATCAAATATAAACACTCATTGGTTACGCCTTGGCTTTGTAACCTCGACAATGTATTATACCTATATCTATTTTTACAAACGTATACATATGTATGGATATGGTAAGCTTAGTTTCGATGTAAAGGTCAATTGTTACATCACAATGTAACACCTGGTATTCTAGACTTTTATTTCCGTCATTTGTAACTTTCTCTTCCCTCTTCTCTCTCTCTCTCTCTCTCTCTCTCTCTCTCTCTCTCTCTCTTTCACTCTCTTTATTTATCTATTTATCTCACCTACATTTTCTATTCATTCGAATTTCTCTATTTTAAACTTTCTTCGTTGCCCTTTTTTGTCTTTCTCGCGCAAATATCTACATATATTTATCATATATAATTAGAAATATATACATGTATATATATATATATTTATATTTATTTATTTATTATATGTCCTAACTATTTTGCAATATTGATATTATTAAAAATATGTAGAAAAAGAAATATATATTATATATAAACGACAAAGTTCAAGATAAAAAATAGGATGAAAATTTGAGTTTACTGAATGTTAATGAAGAAAATAAAATAAAATAAAATAAATAAATGAATCATATATATATATATATACACACGCACACACATATATTTATTATATGTTGTGACTACTTTGTAATATTGAAATTATTACTATTAGAGAAGGAAATTCAATTATGTTGAAAGTTGATAATTAAAAAAAAAGATGAAAAAAAAGGAAAAGAAAAAAAAACGAGATAAAAAACCTGATAGATAATCAACTCGTTTTATTCCTCGAGATGGAAGATTTAGGCGAAAAATTGAAACATCATCGTCACGTCGAAATAAATACGAGATAAAGCACGTTACTGTAAGGAGTGAATTTTTTTTTTTTACATGGGAACATTAAAAAAAAATAATTGAAAAGGAAAAAAACGAAGAGATAATTTTTTCTGTTTTTTTTTTTTTTAAGAGCAATGAACGGAAGCGATGAGCAATGTCGAAGAGTGGCCATTGTACATCGATCATTCTCTTCGTTTTTTTTTTTTCTTTTTTTTTGTCAACGTTTATATACATATATATCACAAATTTTTCAATAATATTAAATTCCATGGGGAGGGTGAGATAGGGGAAATTGTTAATGATAAAAAAATATATTCATTGGACGAGAAAAAAGTTCAATGAAGTTTCCAATCTCGTATGCCATAATTATTATTAAGATTATTAATTTTTAATTAATATTTATATTATTGGATTAAGAAAATATCTTCTATCTTTCTCTCTCTCTCTCTTTCTTGTAATTATTGTTATTGTTAGTGTTATTAATGACAACGTGCAACAACAAATTCCAGCGTTATGGTATATCACGATACATATCTCTGTATCCGTCTTATGGGATTTATTTCAACATCGAAATATCATTAATACATTTTTTTACATAATCGAAACACCCATTTTATGATTTATTTCACCTCTTCCATATACATCCAAATTACAAAATCTGTGATTTTAAGAGATCTTTAATAAAAAAAAAAAAAAAAAAAGGAATTAAAAAATAAAAAATCAGATAAGCCATTAATAATGAAAAAAAGAAAAAGTGTACAAAAGGAGAAGTATTCATATGAATTTTATTGGATAGTTATTTAAAAAAAAAAAAAAAAAAAAAAAAAAAAAAAAAAAAAAAAAAAAAAAAAAAAAAAAAAAAAAAAAAAAAAAAAGAAAAACAGTCTAAAATCACTTTTATGACACCCTATATTAAATTTTCAACGTGACCTACATCGAATTGTTCGTTAATAGTCATTATCATTCAATCCACGAACATTAACTACCTTTCCCCTTTTTGAAACGACACACTTGAATTCGAAATTAATTTTTCCCGGCGTAAAATATAAAAATGGCGTCGGTGATGTCCTTGCACGTACCCAAACTTCAAAGATTAAAATCAGAGGTTTTAATATCGTATGCGATCGTCTTCTTCTCCTATTGGATATTCGTAAAGTCTTTTACATGGGTCAGGGACATATTCACAAAGGCGTTCCCCATTTAAATTTATCTTTCATGGCCATCATGAATAGTCTCTTATGAAGTGACCTTAATAGATGTATATATATATATATACATTTATAAAATGTATATAATGTATATGTATATATACATATATATATACATATAAATATAGATAGATAGATAGATATTTAGGCTGTTGAACCTTCTTAGATTTTGTTGAAGAAATTATAAGATTTCAAGATGAATGATCGATGAAATAAGATCGACATGATGGCTAATTTAATCTTTTCTTTTTTCTTTTTTTTTTTTTTTTTTTCTTCTTTTTTCGATATGTACACGTTCAATTAACATATACATAACATTTTTATTGATATATTAAAATATACAATAAAAGTGAAAATTTATTCTCTTTAGGATATTATTAGAAAGCGTATTCTTTTTAATATTTCCAATGTTAGAAAAAAAATGTAATAAAAAAAAAAAAAATATCTAAAAAATTTCTAATAAAATCTTGAAAATTTATTAACAGTCATCGATAACTCCTATGATAATTTAAATGTTTTAAAGTGACAGACTTTTACAAATGGCACCATGAATTAAATGGAGAAAGTTCTAAATGCTTCACGTTTCCGTCATCTTTTCTCTTTCCCATTCTTCTTCCTTCATTGCTTCTTCTTCCTAATACACAATAACGAATCCACCGTACCTTCTTCGCAAAGAGAAAAGAAAGAAAGTCGTTAAATTATACGAGTTAAAATCTTTCTTTTAGCATTGTTTTATTTTTTTTTTTTTTTTTTTTTTTTTAACAGGTCTTTTTCGTTTTTTATATGAAAACGTACCTCAGATAATAATTAATCTTATGATTGAATTCGTTTCTTCGACTTTTCGTAAGAAGGGTGATTAAAAAAAAAAAAAAGACAAAATAATAGCGGGAAATTTGAATCGAGTAATATCAAATTTGCGTCATTTCTCTTATGTTTTTCGGATTTGTATTATTAAACGAACACGTTTAAATCAATAACACGTCACTCAGATAAACGATTAATCTCTTTCGTCTTTTAGTTTTTCGTAAAACAATTAAAAAAAAAAAAAAGAAGAAGAAAAGGAATGGCGCGAAATTCGAATCGCATGATTACGTCATCTCGTATATTATATATAAACACGTTCTATATGGACAATTTTATGATAAATTAAAAAATCCAACGTGCTTATTATAAATGCATGAATTATTTTCGAAGACGGTAAAACGTTTCACATATATTATTTTTTTTATTTAGAAAATTAAAAAGAAGGAAGAAAAGAGAGAGAGAGAGAGAGAGAGAGGGAGAGAGAGAGAAAGAGAGAAAGAATTATATGATAACCGATAATAGTTAGAGAAAGCATAAAAATTTGAACGTGACAAACGTGTCGTAATTCTTAAACAAATTACGAGCCACGTTCGTGTTTCCGTTTGATTTCTCAATCGATATCGTTTGAGATCCTAAATAAAATTGCTACGTTGTATCGTCTTTAGAATATTTAAATGCTCGTTGTCTTCTAATGGTACGCAAATGTACTAACAAATATTCGTGACCTATTTTTAATTCTTTACAAAAAGAATCTAGTAGTTTTATGTTTTCGTTTTTTGTCTTTCATTTTTTTTCTTTTTTCTTTTTAAAGTTTGATTTCGTTAGAAAATTAATCCTGATTTTGTTCTCCTTCTTTTTTTCTTTTTTGTATATTTTTTTTAAGGATATAAAGTTTTTTATACTTTGTACTATAAGTATAGTATAGTTATATTATTATAAGTTAATTATTAAAGTCATATAGATATTAGTATAATATTATATTAGAGAAAGAGGAAATATAATACAATCTGTACTTCATAATATTAATAATTATGATTAGTATATATTGTAATATCTGTATATATAATATCTAATATATATTTATATACCAATATGACTCTTTACTAATTTATAAGGATATATATATATAGTGCCCTGGTTTACGCTTTCTCCGGTCATAAATGTTTAAGAAAAATAATAATATACAAAATTACTTTTCTATTTATGTTCATTGACCGGTTCTTATGTCTGCGTCCATATATTATGTCTACTTACATATATATTTACATATTTACATATACATTGAGTTAATTAATTTCCGTGAAAGTTGTAATAACTTTCTAGGAAGATCAAATCTCGTTCAGCATTGGCTAGGTCAAGGTTTAACAACTATTCATATATCATTCTTATTTAACTTGCTATTTTGAACATTTGATAGAAATTTTCATCCTCATTCATTATATATATATGTATATATATATACATATATGTATATACTTCGTCTGCTCTTTTTTTGTTATTTTTTCCTTTTCTTTTTATATTTTTGTTCATTTTTTTATGATTATGCAACGAAAAGAGAACAAAAATGTATAAACAATGAATACAATAGACATTCGTGTCACACAAATGCCATTTTGTGTCACAGATCCGACCATTTTTTTTTTTTTTTTTTTTTTATAGTATTAAAACTTATTCAACAACGAGATTTAATTCTATAATGTTATTTTTATAGAAATAAAAAATTAAAAATAAAAAATAAATAAATAAAAAAGATAACATTATTTTTGAATGCAATCTAACGTGTAAAATAAAAATAATCATTTGATCGTGGGTACCAATTTTAATCGTTTTTTATACAACGAGATTAGTCAAAGTTAAAATATTCTTACTCGTCCTTAAAGAATATCTTTTGTTTCCTCTTCTCTCCACCCTCCTCTCTCTTTCTCTCTCATTCTCGTTTTATACCTAAATAAAATATATTTACGTGTCTAAACTGATTTATATCTGATGGCTAATGTCGTAACTAACCTCTAACGAAATACTCGAGTTTAAAGATTTCATTTGTCGGCTTAAATAATAAAAATAAATCGTCGAAATTTAATATTTCGTTAATATAAATCATCGTAAATAAATTAAATAAATAATATATATAATAAATACTCGTTGATCTTTTGATCCATCGAAAGATTAACAATCGAAAAAAAACATTTCTATTGTTTTAAATGAATTAAGCAAATACGTATTTGTTTCACAGTACTACGTAGTACTGTAGTACGTCTCGCATGATCTTAAATTTATCGATAATTTGATGAAACTGCAAAAAACAAAACAAAAAAAGAAGAAATAAAAAGTGTTATTTAAATATTTATAATTAATTTCCATATAATATGTATATATTATACCATCTTATAGATTTCTATTTATAGATTTCTATTTATTGGCTATATTATTTAATTGTAATACTTTTCAACATGGCTATCATTTTATCATTCAAAATTATTTTTATTTTTACAGATTAAAATTCTAAAATTCATCAGTTATTTATATTTAATATACACAACGTATAAGAATCTGTGTATGCAGGAGAATAAAATAAATCAAAAAGAAAAAAGAAAATCTTCTCTGATATTCTTCGAGAACATTGTGATTAAAGAATAAATATAATATGTACATTTCTAACCTATAAATAGATCGCCACACGTTAGAACTGAATTTTTCTCGATGTTCGTTTATATATTTATATATAAACAATCGAGTTGTCCTTAAGAAATTATTTCGAGATAATATTCCCTTGGGAATAATTTCTTTCTATATTGATATTTGGAAAAATAAATTAAAAACGAGAATCAATGGATATGTAAGATCGATTAATCGAACGATATTGAAAGTTGTCCAAAGTCGGCGTCGTCGTTTACCGATGTTAGCCGAGTTTAACCGAATCGTTGACTTAATCGTCGAACAGACAGCTGTTCGAGTTTATCTTTCGTAAATTATATGTGTTATTTACTTTAAAAAATAACATTTGAAAAGTTAATTCATATATATTACGTGAGTTTTCTCATCAATAGTGCATTCTAAACGAACATTTGTGTGTTGTCTTCATCGACGAATTAGAAACGTTAAAAAGTGAATATAAAAAGAAGGTTATGTTCCTGACATCGGAGGTTCGTCGATATTTCTTTCTAACAAAATTGTTTAATGAGTTAAACAATATCTTTGATGTGACTCATTTCTCACCTGTTATTTACAGGATACATTATTATTGTTATAAAGATTTTATATACGACAAGGCGAAATTTTAACTATTAACATGTCAGGTTGGAATGGAAATAATAAAGCGTCTATTCCATCACGATGGCTTCATTGTCCAAGAAAAGCTATAAAATTGATACAAAATAAATTCTTAGCATTTAAGACGCCATTATCGTCGGCATATAACAGTCAAGTACCAGAAGAATGTCGATTTACAATAGAAATGCTTTTCGCTTCTTTGAGGAGTCAAAAAGTGAAACTTGGTTTATGGATTGATTTAACCAATACAACAAGATTCTACGACAAAAAGGATTTGGAAGCACAAGGTTGTAAATATTTAAAATTACAATGTAGAGGTCATGGAGAAACTCCATCGGACGAGCAAACGCGTTTTTTCGTTCAAGTTTGCAAAAAGTTCATAACGCATAATCCATTAGAAGTTATTGGTGTTCATTGTACTCATGGCTTCAACAGAACAGGTTTCTTAATAATCAGTTATTTAGTGGAAATAGACGGTACCAGTGTTGATGCTGCTTTAGCAGAATTTGCTGCAGTTAGACCACCTGGTATTTACAAAATTGATTATATCAAAGAATTATATAAAAGATATGACGATGAGGATGATACTCCTGATCCACCACCAAGACCAGCATGGTATCTTGAATATGATGACTCTAATGTAGAAGAAGATACAAATGAAGGATCTAGTACAGAAAATCATACCTATGAACAGGAACCCAAAAGGAGAAGGAAAGAATATTTTAAAATAAATCCAGTATTTATGGCTGGTGTATCTGGAGTAACACCTATTGTAGAACAAAAGAAATTAATTGGCATACAAAGACGTGTTCAAGAAATCTGTTCTTGGACATCAACAGGATTCCCAGGCTCTCAACCCGTTTCAATGGATTTAAAAAATATTAGATTATTACATGAAAAACCATACAGGGTATCATGGAAAGCCGATGGAACCAGGTTAGCAAATAATGTATTATCAATATAAATGAGAAACTTAAGATTTCAAAACGTAATAATTATTTTCTTTCCTTAGATATATGATGCTGATACAAGCTGATCGAGAAATATACTTCATAGATAGAGATAACAGTATTTTTCAAGCAGAAGGTTTAACTTTCCCTCATCCAAAAGATCTATCCAAATGTCTTGGAGATACTCTATTGGATGGTGTAAGATTTATTATATAATTCATTATATAATTCATATTGTATTCCTTATAGTTGTATACTGTTTAAATGTTAATTTTAATTGTATTATTTTTCTTCTTTTTTTTTTCCTTTAGGAAATGGTAATTGATAAAGTATACGGTAAAGAGTATGCTAGATATTTAGCATATGATATAGTTATGTATGATGGAAAAGATGTTACTAAATTACCTTTTCATCCTGATCGATATGAAATTATTGAACGAAAAGTAATACAAAGTAGGCATAGAGCCTTGAAGGAAGGAAGAATACGTAAAGAACAAGAGCCGTTTTCAATCCGTTTGAAACACTTTTGGGATGTCACGCAAGCTGCTAATTTACTTAGTGAAAAATTTGCCAAAAATCTAAGCCACGAGCCCGATGGATTAATATTTCAACCTTCTAAAGAATCATATTGTCCAGGATTATCTCCTGAAGTTTTAAAATGGAAACCTATTTCATTGAATTCGGTAGATTTCAGATTAAAAATTGTTACAGAAACAGGAGTAGGAATTCTTCCCCGTAAAATTGGTCAACTGTTCGTAGGTGGTTCAGATCTACCATATGATCAAATGAAAGTTACTAAACAAATTAAAGATTTGAATAATGCTATTATTGAATGTAAAGTAGAAAATGGTCAATGGGTATTTATGCGTGTAAGAAAAGATAAATCATTTCCTAATTCAATAAATACTGCGAATGCCGTCCTTGAAAGTATTAAAAGACCAATTACGACAGAATATCTTTTAGAATATATTAATAAACATAGATTTTTAGAAGATGATTCAGATCTTATGCCACCACCTAATAAAAGATCTAAATGACAATAATGATTTGTATATGTACTAATCAATATTGTTAACAATTCTACAAGTATGCATCGTGTCCCCTTTAAAATAAGTAATATGTAACTTAGCATGAGATACAAAAGTCAACATTATAAAATCATTTATAATTATTTTAGTTCATAGATTATCATTGTATACTCGCAATCGTTCTTCGCTAAATAAAGAAATTTTCTATAAAAAAAAATGTATATATATATATATATGTGTGTATATATTTTATTTGCTTTTTTTATCTCTTCCTACCTACGTATTTTTTTATTAATTAATAAATATATAATTTATTTGAACAAAAATATTTTAATACAATTATATATGATTTTAATAAGTTTAAATCTTTATCATTTTATCAACTTTGTTCACTTTCAGATGCTGTGTTCATATGGTGTACTAAAAATCTTGCATCTAAAGCTCGGAAGTCTCTTCGCATTAACTTAGAATATGATTATGCTATAATGATAAGGTGGTCTCCCGATGGAAAAGCATTTATTGTACATAAGTCTGTACAAAATATTATAGAGGTTTATAAAGTTATTAAGAAAATGGATGGTTTTATAGCATCAGCAACAAAAGTTCTTGAATTTCCACAGGTATAATTATACGTATTATTACATTTAACATTAAATAATTTATATATACAATTGTACATGTTTTTTTTTTTTTATTTTTTTTTTTTTAGAAACATATTGGAAATCCTGTCGGTTTGGATATTGCATGTACAGGACGTTATATGATTAGTTGTAGCGAAGACAATGATTTAATTATATGGGATTTAAAAGGTCAACCACTTGCAACTATAGAACTAAAATTGGGATCCACTCACAGAGCACGTATATCACCATGTGGACGTTTTGTAACAACGTCAGGTTTGTTGATACTTTTAATTCTTATAAGTCTTACATAGAATGTGGATTCGTCCTTTTCTTTTTCTTTTTCTTTTTCTTTTTTTTTTTTTTTTTTTTTTTTTAATTCCAATTATATTACAGGTTTTACACCTGACGTGAACGTATGGGAAGTAGTATTTAATAAAACAGGAGATTTTAAACAGGTTTCTAAGGCCTTCGATCTTACTGGACATTCCTCTGGTGTTTATGACTTTAATTATAATGCTGATACAAGTCGTATGGCCACATTATCCAAGGATGGAACTTATCGTTTCTACGACACCAAAAGTAATTCATTTAATTACTTGATTACGATCAAATATCATTCATATTATATATAATATTAATTTTTTAATATTTCAGTTGAATTTGAAAAGGGAGAAGATCCTCATGTACTTATGACTGGTTTATGGGATGTTACAACGCCAGCTAATATTGCAGTTTCACCTAATGGGGAAGTATTAGTAATAACCCATGGTTCATCTCTTAGCTTTTATAACAACATTACTGGTTCATTGGATAATACTATTAAAGATATTTTTTCTAGTAAGTACATACTAATAAATCTTATTAAATATTATTCTTTATTGAATTTTTAATATATTTCTATTCTTACACCATAGATCCTATAACCTGTGTTGCTTTTGATGCATTGGGAGAATACGTTTTGGTCTCTGGTGATAAACATATAAAAATATTCTCTAATGTAACTGGTTATCGTGCGGCCATAGCATCTGCAAAATCCAAATTAAAGCAAAGACAGACATCGGCTACAAAAGAGCGCCTGGAAAAAATTATAATCGACTCTAAGAGATTTCTTCAAGAAATGGGCGAAGAATGTTCCGAATGACATTAGAGAGATTCTTTGAAAATATTTCTGTTCCTATAACTGAAATGTTTTATATCTGTCTTCTATAATTATATTCTAATGCATTTCATAAGATTGTTTTTATGCAAAAGAATTGTTTATACCATAATTTTTCAATGTATTGCAATAAAATATATTATACAAATTTATTCTAGCAAAAAGTAACATTCTTCTATATCCTTAAATTTATTAAAACAATCTTTTAATATTGTAAAAACAGATTATTTTCTATTACTTGATAAAAGTTTAATTTCCTTTATATATATATATATCTAAGATCTAGGAAAGATCAAAGATAAAGAAAGAAATTACTCAAAACCATTCATAATGGTTTATACAAAAAATAAGAACAGATGTAATACTTTGATAATTTTACAATTACATGAACAATCTTTAATGTATACAGGTTGTTACAATAAATTAAAATATTAAACAATAATATATTCATTTTAAACATTACAGAAGATCATTAAGCATTAGAAACTTAAAATAATTTCAATATAAATAGTATAAGATCCTATTTGTGGATTTCGTTTCATTTACTTAAACATCATTCAATTAATATTACTTCATGAATGCAGATTTTAGAGTCATCGTTATTTTAACACATTAGTAAGTTAAATGAACACAATTAAAAGTACTACCGAGGATTACGTTTTTATTGTTCGAAATTTGGAACAGTCCTGTTTAATAATCCATTATGACTGAAGCTGATGATATTGAACGATAGGGAGCTATTCGTAAGCGGAGTCTCACACATCTTTCCTTTTAATTAAGAACCTTAAAACTTCCTAAGCAAAAAGATATTGCAGATTAGTATTGCAAAATGTATAATTTTAAAGTAGAATCAACATCAGCCCGTGGGTCACCAAATGCAGCAACCTCCACGTGGTGTGACTTGGGTCGATAATACTTGCTAAATATTATAATCTAATTGTAAATCATCCAACGCAAGTATTACCGGGCGAATGGCTGCATATTTCCATGTATTTTCAAATTTCAATGTACTTTCAATTTAATTCTAATTAAACATTAAATTATTAATACTTTACATTGTCAATAATACTTCTACAGCCATAGACAGATTAAGGTATAGTTAAATTCAAAGATAATTTCTTATATAATAATTATCATATATATATATATATCAATTATATTTATTATTCTTTATATTTTTATCATAAAACAAAGGCATATTAGACGTATCTAAAATCGTTTCATTGCAAAACATTTATAGTTCATAATTTTGTTCATACCTGCAGCATTGAAGTAACAAATGTTTCTCGAGCTTAAGGTGATGAACAGATTAAAAAAAAAAAGCTTATAATCACAGCACTTGTAAATATGAAATTAAGATCATAAAACGAGATTTTTGCTGATTCTAAATTGTTAATTAATAAATATATACGTATACAATATTTCGTAAAAAAAAAAAAAAGAAGAAAGAAATTTACAGACAAATATGCGCAAGATTGTAAATATGAAAAACTTTTTTCTTAGTATTTCTTAATACAAGAAGCCTACGAGATGCGACCAATGCAAGAGTAGCTTGATGTTCACTTCTTAAAATTTGATAATTAGCTCTTAAACTAACACGCCTAAGATTATTCGGAGGAACTGGTCGACCACCCGCAAATGCAAATCTAAAATATAATATTAAATTAAGTTATTAAATTGTAAAAATTAAATTTCTTTTTTTTTTTTTACCTTATCTCTTTTCTAGGTCCTTTTAATGTAGAATCTGGAAATGCTGATTGTCTGTCCCATAATATTTTACTATTTACTGGTCTAACTTTAGCATACTTTATTTTACTTTTCAATATAATTGGAAGAGTTGGAGATTTTCTATATTCGCTTGTATCGTTATTACATTTAACTGGTAAATATGGCAATAACGAATCTCCATAATGTTCTATTATACTGGAAAGATCCAAACGATGAGCGTCTGATTTTAATAATGCACAAACTGCCAACTATAATGAAAATATAATATATATATATATATATATATATAATTTTATATATCAATTATATATACCAGTATTATCAATTCATACTTACAGCCATACGTTGCCAAATAACAGAACCCGAAGGTGCGGATTTTAAAATGTTATCTATAAAAAGTGGTGACTCTTTATCAGATTGAAAAAAAAGTAATGGTTGTACGCTTGCTAATAATTCCATGGCTGTCATTCTTTTCTTATTTACATCCGTATTCTCTTTCTCTTCTTTAAGAAGTATTTCCTCCAATGTAGGAATATATCTATAATTAATATTTTCTTTATCATTTACGATATCTTTATTTTATTTTAATAATTAATATATATATATATATTAATATTTACTTATCAGCAACAGATGGCCAACGAAGCATCAATTTCAGGGCACATTCCTTAAAAAGAGCTTCTAAATTAAGATTTATAAAACTCTGTCCAAGTAGTAATTCTAATAACAGTTCAGTTAATTTATCAACCTGAAATATTTAATTGATTGTAAAAATTAATAAAACATATATGCATGTTCATTTTAATGTATATTATAAGTTTGTATAAATTATAAAAATTAATACCGATGTTAAATAATATGGATAAACAGCTTCGCTATTGCTTGCAATAGCAATTATAAGTTGACAAGTACGTGTTGAAACACGTGTATATTGTGCATTATTAGATATTACCATGGATCTAGCTATAGACATTAATCTATCTATAACACCTTCTCCGCCTAAATATGGATTGGTAGCACAATCATTGACCAATACCTATGGTATCATTAAAGTTAAACTTTGTATTATATTTGTGAACATAAAGAATAATATCATATACCTGAAAAGTCTTCTGGGAACCATTAAATAAAGTCTTTAATGCACGTTTTGCATAATTGTAACGAGCTTCGGTTAATTTCACATCACAAACTTCCATTTCTATATAAAAAGAAAAAAAGAAAAAAAAAAAGAAAGAAAAAAGAAAAAGAAATATTAATAATAATATACATAAAAGAAAATGAAATAATATAATGTATAAATTTCAAGAACACTTGCATTGCACGTGCATTAATAAAATATTACCTTGAATGAAAGGTACATTATCTTGGGACAAATTAACAGCTTCATTGACCTTGTCTATCAAATTAATAATGCGTTCATTAGGAACAAATACTTTAGCCTCCGAGTGATATTCCGGCATTGTATCCGGTGCCCCTAAAATTGGATCTACATCGCACAAATTTGTAAGTACTGCATTTACATCATTGGATGTTAAACACTTTCGTCTACTGTGCTTCAGTCTTGTAATACATTTCTAAAATGAAAATAAATTATGAGTAATAAGTTATCAAAAATATAATAATAGATTCGATGATATTGTATTTTTATAATATTCAAATATAAATCATAAATATATTTATATCCATACATGTAAAATTTCTCTTAATCTATATGAAGCATCCTCTGCTAATCTACGTAGTACAGAATCTGACAAGGGATGCATTCCCAATTCTTCACCAATGGCAGAAATCCATTCTGTACTTAAAACAGCATATCTTCTAGTATTATTATCATTCGTCATACTGTTAACACTCGTTTCTCCATTGTTACCGACAAAAGTATTATTATAACCTGAAATATTTTGCGCTGACAATATTTCCTTCATGATTTCTCGCCAATCTTATAATCCCTTCTAGCACCTTCTCAACGTGCACAATCGAAATTCATCGTTTGAATTGAATTTTCGAAGACAATTGTTTGAACAAAAAAAAAAAAGAAAAAAAAAGAAAGAGAGAGGAAAAAAATGAAAAAGAAAAGAAAGAAAAAAAGAAAGAAAAAAAGAGTTATTATCAATGTTATTTCAAGATCAACGTTAAATTTAATCAAAGGTATTCATAAAAAAATTATCGAGTAAGAAAATAATAATAACAACGAACGAATTTGCATATTAAATATCATACCGATAAGAAAATTTTTTCGAAGAGATATATAGTTTATTTTTTTTACCGATAGATGTCGGTACGATCGAGTCGAAGATTTCCTTACTACTATCTTCGTCGCTCTCGTACGATCAATTCGTTCTCCGTCTTTATTTAATGACATGTAACACTTCATGGAATTTCAACCGCCAATGAGAAGCGACAACGAAATTTACGCACAGAAATATCACTGACGTGTCCCCAAAAAGAACTACTTAGACGATTCATGATCATTCTCGATTCTTATAAAATTACGAGAACGTCAGTAAATCAGTGAATTGTATCAAAGAGAGAGTGACTTGTAAAAAACTGTTCAACGAAATTATGGCGGCGACATTCAATACATTTGTAAATTCCTTCAATAGCAGATTGTAAGTATTATTAATGGGGGGGACATAATGGTCATCTTAAAAAGCACGTTCGTTTCTTTTCACCTTTACGCCCTTATAATAACTTTATTACAAAATAGTTAATTGTTTCCTTTATTGTATATTTCGATGATGTAAGAAGTATTTTTTTTTTACTTTCCTTCTGTCTTTCTCTTTCTCACTCTTTTTTTTTTTATTTATTTATTTTCTTTTTCCTTTATTTTTGTTTTCAAAGCTAATTTTAACGTTTTTACGTTCTACGCATTTGAAATTATTTACTGTAACGTAATGTCTATAGCATTCTTATCTTAATTTTCTTACATTATCTATATTCTACTTTCACTATCGCTAGTACGTTAAAAATAATCATCTTGTTGACTTTAAATCTTAATGTGTAATGTTCCTTTTTTATATATATATATATATATATATATATATATATATATATATATATATATATATATATAGAAAAATAAACATTCTTATTGCTTTTGATCGCATTTCATATTATTTAATGATGAAATTTTTTTATATGTTATCATCATTTGTTTACAGGGATGAACCAGTTAGAAAGCATTTAAAAAATGTTTATGGTTGTTTATCCTTGTCAACGGTATCAGCTGCCGTAGGAGCTTATGTACATATGTACACACAGCTCTTACAGGCTAACTTACTTACCACCTTTGGTACACTTGGAATATTTTTTGCTTTGATGTCTACGCCAGACAATGGAAAAAATCAAAAATTACGTCTTGGCTATCTCTTAGGATTTGCATTTTTATCTGGATTAGGACTTGGTCCATTGCTTGAGATTGTGA